GCGTGAGTGTGATGAGTGTGTGTGTGAGTGAGTGTGTCTGTGTGGGAGTGTGAGAGAGTGTCTGTGTGAGTGTGTGTGATGAGTGTGTGTGTGTGTGTGTATGTTTGAGTGTGTCTGTGTGAGAGTGTGAGTGTGATGAGTGTGTGTGATGAGTGTGTCTGTGTGAGAGTGTGAGCGTGAGTGTGATGAGTGTGTGTGTGAGTGAGTGTGTCTGTGTGAGAGAGTGTGTGTGATGAGTGTGTGTGTGAGAGAGTGTGTGCGCGTGTGTGTGCGCGCGTGTGTGTGTGAGAGAGTGTGTGCGCGTGTGTGTGCGCGCGTGTGTGTGTGAGAGAGTGTGTGCGCGTGTGTGTGCGCGCGTGTGTGTGTGAGAGAGTGTGTGCGCGTGTGTGTGCGCGCGTGTGTGTGTGAGAGAGTGTGTGCGCGTGTGTGTGCGCGCGTGTGTGTGTGAGAGAGTGTGTGCGCGTGTGTGTGCGCGCGTGTGTGTGTGAGAGAGTGTGTGCGCGTGTGTGTGCGCGCGTGTGTGTGTGAGAGAGTGTGTGCGCGTGTGTGTGCGCGCGTGTGTGTGTGAGAGAGTGTGTGCGCGTGTGTGTGCGCGCGTGTGTGTGTGAGAGAGTGTGTGCGCGTGTGTGTGCGCGCGTGTGTGTGTGAGAGAGTGTGTGCGCGTGTGTGTGCGCGCGTGTGTGTGTGAGAGAGTGTGTGCGCGTGTGTGTGCGCGCGTGTGTGTGTGAGAGAGTGTGTGCGCGTGTGTGTGCGCGCGTGTGTGTGTGAGAGAGTGTGTGCGCGTGTGTGTGCGCGCGTGTGTGTGTGAGAGAGTGTGTGCGCGTGTGTGTGCGCGCGTGTGTGTGTGAGAGAGTGTGTGCGCGTGTGTGTGCGCGCGTGTGTGTGTGAGAGAGTGTGTGCGCGTGTGTGTGCGCGCGTGTGTGTGTGAGAGAGTGTGTGCGCGTGTGTGTGCGCGCGTGTGTGTGTGAGAGAGTGTGTGCGCGTGTGTGTGCGCGCGTGTGTGTGTGAGAGAGTGTGTGCGCGTGTGTGTGCGCGCGTGTGTGTGTGAGAGAGTGTGTGCGCGTGTGTGTGCGCGCGTGTGTGTGTGAGAGAGTGTGTGCGCGTGTGTGTGCGCGCGTGTGTGTGTGAGAGAGTGTGTGCGCGTGTGTGTGCGCGCGTGTGTGTGTGAGAGAGTGTGTGCGCGTGTGTGTGCGCGCGTGTGTGTGTGAGAGAGTGTGTGCGCGTGTGTGTGCGCGCGTGTGTGTGTGAGAGAGTGTGTGCGCGTGTGTGTGCGCGCGTGTGTGTGTGAGAGAGTGTGTGCGCGTGTGTGTGCGCGCGTGTGTGTGTGAGAGAGTGTGTGCGCGTGTGTGTGCGCGCGTGTGTGTGTGAGAGAGTGTGTGCGCGTGTGTGTGCGCGCGTGTGTGTGTGAGAGAGTGTGTGCGCGTGTGTGTGCGCGCGTGTGTGTGTGAGAGAGTGTGTGCGCGTGTGTGTGCGCGCGTGTGTGTGTGAGAGAGTGTGTGCGCGTGTGTGTGCGCGCGTGTGTGTGTGAGAGAGTGTGTGCGCGTGTGTGTGCGCGCGTGTGTGTGTGAGAGAGTGTGTGCGCGTGTGTGTGCGCGCGTGTGTGTGTGAGAGAGTGTGTGCGCGTGTGTGTGCGCGCGTGTGTGTGTGAGAGAGTGTGTGCGCGTGTGTGTGCGCGCGTGTGTGTGTGAGAGAGTGTGTGCGCGTGTGTGTGCGCGCGTGTGTGTGTGAGAGAGTGTGTGCGCGTGTGTGTGCGCGCGTGTGTGTGTGAGAGAGTGTGTGCGCGTGTGTGTGCGCGCGTGTGTGTGTGAGAGAGTGTGTGCGCGTGTGTGTGCGCGCGTGTGTGTGTGAGAGAGTGTGTGCGCGTGTGTGTGCGCGCGTGTGTGTGTGAGAGAGTGTGTGCGCGTGTGTGTGCGCGCGTGTGTGTGTGAGAGAGTGTGTGCGCGTGTGTGTGCGCGCGTGTGTGTGTGAGAGAGTGTGTGCGCGTGTGTGTGCGCGCGTGTGTGTGTGAGAGAGTGTGTGCGCGTGTGTGTGCGCGCGTGTGTGTGTGAGAGAGTGTGTGCGCGTGTGTGTGCGCGCGTGTGTGTGTGAGAGAGTGTGTGTGTGCGTGTGTGAGAGAGTGTGTGTGTGTGTGTGCATGTGTGATGAGTGTGTGCGCGTGTGTGAGCGTGAGTGTGATGAGTGTGTGTGTGAGTGAGTGTGTCTGTGTGAGAGTGTGAGAGAGTGTCTGTGTGAGTGTGTGTGATGAGTGTGTGCGCGTTTTTGTGACAAATGAGGACATAAATTTGTATAATGACAAGGGTATGACATAGGTATTACAAGGAGAAGGTGACTTTTCAGGACATTACCCCATGTCCCCACTTTTCAAAAGTGTGTATCTGAAGGTAATACAGCACTCGACCCACAGCCAGAACCACCTGAGAGCTGTTGCAGGACGCCACGCTGATGTTCCTGCCCTGAGGCTCCTTCCACTCGCTCACCAGAGCCTTGCTGTCCTGAGTGACCAGCCTCACAGACACTGACGTGATCTGAACACACACACAAACACACGTGATCACAGGCATTCTGACACAACCACAGTGAAGTACAGCTCAGGTGCGTGTATGCGCACCTGTATGAGCTGCTGATGCACTACATTCCCACAGAAGAACGTCTGCTGATTATCCACAAACCCCGGCAGCTCCGTCTCCTCCACCTCCTCTCCACTCAGCATCAGCACCCTACACACACACACACACACACACACACACACAGATGGCAGGAATGAGTAAGTGAGGTATATGTCAGCTCTAGACTGAAGTAAACTAAACGCTCTTCTCACCTGGTCTGACCCACAAAAGACAGAACCAGCATGTCATCAGTGTCTCTGCTCGACTCTGAGCGGAGAGGCCACAGACCTGACAAACACACACACAATATCAGCATAAGTTTGTGTCAGAACCCTGCCTATAAAGAAAGAAAGGAAGCAATATTGACTTTTGTCAAACGCATATGTATGCCGTAAATCAGCTGCAACCGGCAGTGGCAGAACCACTCATTTATTCTGATATTTGTGACAGAGAAGCCAAGCTGAATAGCACAAAGTTACATGTCAAAAATCATTATCAGTCAGCTGTGCATCGGCTCCACCTAAAACTGCAAAACACCCAAAAGGGCAAAAAATGACAGTCATTAACCGGCGATCAATCTGTGGATTTGGTCTGACAGTAAGCTCTCATCAGGTGTCTGACAGCGGGTGTGATGAAATGGATTACTGAAGGTGATAAGCGATGCAATGAGGTTTTAAATGAGATGATTTTTTTTATTGCACTGGATTAACTCAATTAAAAGTCCCAATAATACATAAAACTCACAGACATTTTGGATGATGCTAATAACTGCTATGCTGTTCTATATTTTAAAGAAATTAGTGTTCCTTAATTTAACAATTTACATGGCTGAAACATCAGCAGTACAGTACAGCAGGAAAAGGAAATGAGCAAACAAATATACTGTGCATTCACAGCATGTAAGCGGCTAGTGATTAACATGAAGAGCACTTAACCGCACCTTTGATGCCGGGCAGGTCGATGCTGGCGTGCTCATGGATCCCAATGCCATTCCGAATGATCCTCAGAGAGCCTTCCTTAAACGCTCCGGAGCACGTCACCAGCTGCAGGAACACACACAGCAACTGATGACACACACTGAATCTGAATCAGGGCTCTTCTGGGCCGCAGTGATGCGCAGACGTCTCTCACCTGACCCTGTCCTTGTCTCTCCAGGTCCACCACACACATGTCCACTATCGGCCCCAGGTTAGTGAAGGTCTCCATTACAGCCACATACGAACCCTGGTCATTACTGTCCACATTCAGCTGCAAACACACACAAACCACGCTGGCCTTAAACACGCCATTATCACAGAACAATAATGAATCTGCAAGACTACCAACCTTAACTAGTTGAGAATCTCCTAGTCTGGATCCCACAAACACCACACCGTTATCCAGATACGTCAGACACTCTGCGATAGAGGTCTAGTGAACACAAACAGAGATGCTAGTCACGTCTGATACAGCGATATAAAATCAACACCAAACGGATAAAACATTCAGCGATCTAGAGGCCGGACTGTGACTGAAAACTAATGTAGGGCTGGACGATATGGCCAAAATTGATATCACGATATATTTCTTAATTTCGCTACTTTATCAGATAAAATGAAAATGTCATTGAAACTTTTCTGAAGACAGTCGGTTCCCTTCACAGATACATTTATATAAAACACCCGCGACATTTTTTGATTTTGAAACGTGCAGTGCTCATGTTTATTCAACGAAGTCAAACGGCACAAATAAATCAATGTATGGGAAACACTGGTAATGTATATCGAAATATCGGAAATGTGTTTAAAAATCATATCACCGTTATTGAAAAAAATTATATCGCGATACATATTGATATTGAATTATTGTCCAGCCCTAAACTAATGATTTGTTTGACTAAACATTTGTACTGTAATTTCACTTTTTAAGAGCCTAATGTTCAGGTGTTCTATATAAAGCGTAGCGTATATGTAGCGTAGTGTATTGTAGTGTAGTGTACAGCAGTGTAGTGTAATGTAGTGTAGTGCAGTGTAGCGTACTGCAGTGTAGCGTAATGTAGTGTAGTGCAGTGTAGTGTAGCGTAGTGTACTGCAGTGTAGCGTAATGTAGTGTAGTGTAGTGTAGTGTAGTGCAGTGTAATGTAGTGTACAGCAGTGTAGTGTAGTGCAGTGTAGTGTAGTGTACAGCAGTGTAGTGCAGTGTAATGTAGTGTAGCAGGGTTGGGCTGCTCTGACGCACCTCTCCCAGCAGCTCCACATGCAGGTCTTTGAGCACCACAGCTCCGTCCATCAGCTCCTCTTTCTCCAGCAGCAGCATGAAGAGTCGGCCCTCCATGTCTCCCAGCAGGTACCGCGAGCCGTTCGGATCCACGCGGTTATGACACACGATGGTGCTTTGCTGTGATGTTTGAAACACGCTTTAATCACGGAGTACATGAGAATACAAACGACAGCTTGAAACGGACAGGAGGACATCAGCAGATGTGTTCACCTTGATAGTTGGAGGAGCGATGGCTAAGTATTTGTCTCCGTTGTGATAAGTGATGGACTCCTGTCCGATGATTATAGCTCCTCCAAACGGCTCTGGGACTGAATATATGTGAACACACAACATTTCACACCAATGATTCATAAACCAGCATGTCTATAACAGTCAGTCAACTTCATGAACATGAATGACAACAATTAAGTTTGGGTGAACAAAGCCTGTAAGAATGAATTTAACAAACAATTAAATACAAATGTAATAGACATAACCTGTTATGACAGAGTTAAGTGTAAGAGCCTTAAAATGGTATTTGGATCAGTTTGGGCTGTAGAAATCCTTTTAACAAAATAAACGATGCAAAACAGTCATTTATAACTGTTAATGCTTGACTGGTTGATTAACAAATGAGAAAACACTGTTTACTTTATGATCAGACCAGATATGTTTGTTGAAATGCATTTTTACAAGAAATACTCGTGCTGTCAATGGTAGCTTCAAGAGATGCTGCGTGTGAAGAACATTTACAGGGTTCAGAAACTCTACAACAACATGATTTATAAAACTAGCTCAATCCTGATTAGCATAATGCTTGTTTCCGGTACGAATGCAAGTTATTATACAGTATTTGTAATGATGTGGGTTTCTGCTCAAGCAGCCCGAGTTCAACAGATCTGAACAGTCGTCTGTGAAGCGTCACCTCACCCGGAATGACCATCGATGCTTCAGCTTCCACGTTCTCCTGCTTCCAGGGTCCTTTGTTGAACTCCTTCTCTCTGAGAGAAACCTCGTATGTCTTGACGTGCCGACCCTGAGGATCCTGGACACACACACACACACACACACACAGCCGCATGAGCAGACGGGACACTCGCTCTCAAACACATCGCGCAGGAAGATCCATACCTGATATATGAAGCAGACGGTGGGCGCCTGGCAGCCGTACAGGAACTGGACGTCTATGACCTGCAGCTCCTCCAGACGGATGTTGAAGGCTTTGAGCTCGCGGTTATCACGGTCCAGAGGAATGACCTTAAACAGCCCGTCGTACAGCCGCAAGCCGATCATACGACACTCCGGATCCACGATCCCGATGATCCCGGTCTCAGACGGACGGCCGATCCGATCCTGACACAGACGCAGCGGTCAGACGAGGCCGAGGCCGTATGATGCAGTGTGTTTGGACAGGTGTGTGGGTTACGGTCATACCTGCACGTTTCCGTGAGCGCGGGTGATGATGTCGATGCTGTCTCCGTTCTGCTTGTACTCCAGGATACAGGCGTTGTATTTAGCGGTCAGAATGAACAGAAGATCTTTGCCCTCACCCTGCACATAAAGCAAACAGACAGCTTTTAATAACATTATGCAAATGCAGACGTCTGTTCGTCCAAGTGTTGACATGCTGCAGAAATCTGCACGAGTAATTCAAGTGCTCTCACAGAGCTGCATGACAAACAGCATCGATCGACGCGCGTTTCTCAGTGGCTTATGCCACACTCGACTCTAATGGTGTTTCTGCACTGATATTAGGGATGTCAGATTATGATTATCTATGATTATATCACAATTGCTGTTTTAACACTAACAATATCCAATAAGTCACTCACTTTACAAAAAGCAAACAAAAACACACATTACTAGTGCACACTTTTACTGTGTGATGGAACACCGCCACCTACTGGAGGTTATAGCTTCATATTTAAATAATCATGTTATTTAAAAAAATAAACAAACTCAAAGAATTATTTCTACAATTGTAATTGCAGCTCAAAAGTGGCATTAACGCATTTACACTGCATTAACAAGTCTGTGTAAACATCTAAACACTGCTTTAGATGCAGCTTCTGCAACGCAAATTTAGAGAAAAAAGCTCTTATAATGGTGAAACAGCCTTGGAAATCAATTTAAAGATTCAGCATTTTAAACAAATTTTAAAAATCAATTTAAAAATCAATTAAAAAATTTAAATCAGATCAGATGTTCACATAAGCACTGAAATGAAATATAGTTAATATAGTATATTTGCAGACAGCCTGTTGTAGATTTAGAGTGGAGAGCTGCTGCTTCTGATTCTCAGTTCTCCACCGACGCAGATCATCTGGGGCCAGTTGCATAAACACAGACACTATTTTAAGACTGGGTCCTAAAGGAGTAGTTCACTTCCAGAATAAAAATCTCCTGATAATTCCCTCTCCCCCATGTCATCCGAGATGTACATGTCTTTCTGTCTTCAGTCAAAGAAATTAAGGTTTTTGAGGAAAACGTTCTCCATATAATGGACTTCGATGGGGACCAACGGGCTGAAGATCAAATCAGTGCAGCTTCAAAGAGCTCTACACTATCCCAGCCGAGGAATAAGTCTTATCTAGAGAAACCATCGATCTTTTTCTAAAAAAAATAAACATTTATATAGTTAACCACAGATGCTGTGGTCTTGCACTAGCTGGACTTCACGCATGACGTAATCACTATATGGAGAAAAATCCTGGAATTTTTCCTCAGAAACCTTCAATTCTTTGCGACTGAAGACAGAAAGACATGAACATCTTGATGACGTGGGGGAGAATAAATGATCAGGAGATTTTTATTCTGGAAGTGAAATAATCCTTTAAGAACTAGTTTCACTAACTAGCAGTAGATAAGGGATAATTGGTCGTCCTTCTGAGATTCAAATTAGACCAATCGCCCTTTTTGTAACTGAATTAAAAAAGTTATGACCACTCTTGAACAACCCTCTACATTGCGAGTAAATCACTCGCATATGCGACTAAATCTTCACTCTGGGCGACTAAATGATGTCTAATATTAGCCAATGGCTAATAAATTCTCCGATTTTACTCGCCAGTGTGTGAGTTGGAGGCGGAGTATATGATTAGCACAGATATATTTTCACTCACAGAACACTCTGACTGAGCGCTTCAGAGTTTCACTCTCCGCTGTGTGTGTGTTCACTGCTGTGTGTGTGCACTTTGGATGGGATAAATGCAGAGCACTAATTCCTAGTATGGGTCACTATACTTGGCCACATGTCACCTCACGTTTTTCACTTTTATACTATAGTATTTCAGTCTGGCGAGTAAACAAAAAAATGTACTAGCCAATGGCGATTCAATTGCCAAGGTGTCCGTAGAGGGTTGTTGAAGAAAATAAACTTAAGACTAGTCTAAGCAGTTAATGCATCAGTCCATCACTACAGACGGACACACCTTGGGTCTGAAGAGCTCCATGACCGCGATCTTGCCGTACATGCCGACCTCTTTGACCGGCCGCAGACCCTCCGCAGTGACCACATAGATCTCCAGACGCGTGTTCTTGGCGATCAGCAGGTTCAGATCCTCCGCAGATGTGAAGTGACCTGCAGACAGACATCAGCACTGACATGAACGCGGCACACCGGTTTAACTAGTCTCGCTCTAACTCAGTGGTTTTCAGTCCCACCGCTCTGCACATTCGTGTGTCTCCTTTACTTACACACCTGATTCAGATCCTCAGCTCGATAAGAGACACAGAACGTGCAGAGCGGGGTTAGTGAACCACTAACTCAACACTCCTCACTAGTGCTGGTCCAGTCCTAACAGACTAGTTTATCCTTCCTCACTAGTGCTGATCTAGTGCTAACAGACTAGTTTATCCTCTCTAGTGCTGATCTAGTGCTAACAGACTAGTTTATCCTCACTAGTGCTGATCCAGTGCTAACAGACTAGTTTATCCTTCCTCACTAGTGCTGATCTAGTGCTAACAGACTAGTTTATCCTCACTAGTGCTGATCCAGTGCTAACAGACTAGTTTATCCTTCCTCACTAGTGCTGATCTAGTGCTAACAGACTAGTTTATCCTCACTAGTGCTGATCCAGTGCTAACAGACTAGTTTATCCTTCCTCACTAGTGCTGATCTAGTGCTAACAGACTAGTTTATCCTCACTAGTGCTGATCCAGTGCTAACAGACTAGTTTATCCTCACTAGTGCTGATCCAGTGCTAACAGACTAGTTTATCCTCACTAGTGCTGATCCAGTGCTAACAGACTAGTTTATCCTTCCTCACTAGTGCTGATCTAGTGCTAACAGACTAGTTTATCCTCACTAGTGCTGATCCAGTGCTAACAGACTAGTTTATCCTTCCTCACTAGTGCTGATCTAGTGCTAACAGACTAGTTTATCCTCACTAGCGCGGATCTAGTGCTAACAGACTAGTTTATCCTCACTAGCGCGGATCTAGTGCTAACAGACTAGTTTATCCTCACTAGCGCGGATCTAGTGCTAACAGACTAGTTTATCCTCACTAGTGCTGATCCAGTGCTAACAGACTAGTTTATCCTTCCTCACTAGTGCTGATCTAGTGCTAACAGACTAGTTTATCCTCACTAGTGCTGATCTAGTGCTAACAGACTAGTTTATCCTCACTAGTGCTGATCCAGTGCTAACAGACTAGTTTATCCTTCCTCACTAGTGCTGATCTAGTGCTAACAGACTAGTTTATCCTCACTAGCGCGGATCTAGTGCTAACAGACTAGTTTATCCTCACTAGCGCGGATCTAGTGCTAACAGACTAGTTTATCCTCACTAGTGCTGATCCAGTGCTAACAGACTAGTTTATCCTTCCTCACTAGTGCTGATCTAGTGCTAACAGACTAGTTTATCCTCACTAGCGCGGATCTAGTGCTAACAGACTAGTTTATCCTCACTAGTGCTGATCCAGTGCTAACAGACTAGTTTATCCTTCCTCACTAGTGCTGATCTAGTGCTAACAGACTAGTTTATCCTCCTCACTAGTGCGGATCTAGTGCTAACAGACTAGTTTATCCTCCTCACTAGTGCGGATCTAGTGCTAACAGACTAGTTTATCCTCCTCACTAGTGCGGATCTAGTGCTAACAGACTAGTTTATCCTCCTCACTAGTGCTGATCAAGTGCTAACAGACTAGTTTATCCTCACTAGTGGTGATCCAGTGCTAACAGACTAGTTTATCCTTCCTCACTAGTGGTGATCCAGTGATAACAGACTAGTTTATCCTCACTAGTGCTGATCCAGTGCTAACAGACTAGTTTATCCTTCCTCACTAGTGCTAATCCAGTGCTAACAGACTAGTTTATCCTCACTAGTGCGGATCTAGTGCCAACAGACTAGTTTATCCTCACTAGTGCTGATCCAGTGCTAACAGACTAGTTTATCCTTCCTCACTAGTGCTGATCTAGTGCTAACAGACTAGTTTATCCTCACTAGTGCTGATCTAGTGCTAACAGACTAGTTTATATCATAAAGCAGCTGCGCACTTGACTCCAGCAGTGTTTGTTTAGTGAATACTGTGTCACACACGGGTGTTTGCCTGCAGCAGTGTGTCAATTATCTCTATCTTCTTCAAAGGCAGCACACTGGGGATTGTGACACGAGCAGCGGATCTGGGAAACTAAAGTTTGTGTTTGTGTCAGATTCACTAAACCGCACACACGCCAACGGATCCATTTCAGTTAAACCCCGCAGCAGCACAGTGTCATAAACACACGCTGACAGATCTAAACACACAAAACTAACATGTTTATCGTGTGACGGGTGTTTAATGTGTTTATCCGCCGAGGCCTGAAGCGCGGGAGATAAACACGCACTCACCCGTGATACAGGCGTTCACCGCCGTGGGCTTCTGCGCGGTGACCACGTAGTTGTAGGACATGGCGTTCACTTATATCACGCGAACAGCCAGAAATGAAGAGAACTGGTGTTTAGAGTGAGATATGTAGCATGAATCCGCTGAAGAGCGCTCGGATCAGCAGGATCAGTGTTTGTGTTTGTGTGTGTGCGAGAGACAGCGCCGCCTGCGGCCCGGAGGAAACACTGCGCTTCTGCGCCACAGCAGCTAAATCATTCTATTATTAGTAGTAGTAGTAGTAGTAGTATTAGTATTATATTATGCTGCTGTGAGCTCAGGGTAGAGTACTGGAAAATTATAATCCGTTACTGATCCCAAATCACATGACAAAAATGTAGATAGTAACGTAATCCGTTACATTACACATTTTAGGCAATATAATCAGATTACTTTTTGATTACTTTTAGGTTACCTTTGTCCTAACTCATTTATCACATTGATAATCTTGATGTACCATATTGATATAAAATGCAAATAAAAAGAAGATATATTAAATTTCTTGCTATTAACAAAATGAAGTGCGCATTGTGTCAAGGTTTCCCAAACTGCAGGAGGTTTGTGGGTTTAATGAAAAACTAATTCAATTATAAAAATGTAAAATTAAAATAAATCATGTTAAAATAACAAAAATAAAACACTTACTAAAAAATGTTTAATTTGTTTGCCTGCATGTCATGTGACATCAGAGAACTGTGAACATGCAAATGTGTTACTTAATTATTAACTTATTACCTTAAAATCTCAGGGGGACTTGACATTAATATATTAGGTGAAAGAGATTCAGCTGAGAAAAAACCATCTGGGAATCTCTGCATTATATATAAATGAGAAATAATGTGAATTTGTGCATTTTAATGTGTTTGAAAGAAAAAGACACAGTAATACATGGTTAAATAACCCACTGAGTGATAATTAAAATAAACATGAATGTGTTCATCAGTAGGTGATGCAATGTTGAATTGTTGAGAAAACACTTGAAACTGACATGATTTCTGTAAATCCAGTGCTCAAATGCTGTGTTTTCTGTCTGATTATATCCTCCTGACTAATGACTGGTGTTTGTGTGAAACTGACAGACTTTCTGACTGTATATAAGCGGTAGGATATTTTTTAGAAAGGAACATTTAAAAGATAGAAAAGAGGAATTAGGGGGAATCAATAAATTATTAATATTTTATTGCTATTGTGTGAATAATATGTAATCATGTAATCAATAAAAAGTAACTGTAGTCTGATTACGAGTGTTTTCAAATGTAATGCCCGTGTTTGGCTGAGTGCTGTTGCAAACTGAAGCGTTGCAGGTTCGAACCTCAGAGGCGTGATGATGGAATAACAATCATTCCTTCAATATATGCTGTCAAAGATTATATTATGTGAAGAAACAAAATCATTGTTTGTGTGTGTGTGCGTGCGTGTGTGTGAGTGCGTGCGTGCGTGTGAGTGTGTGTGTGTGTGTGTGCGTGTGAGGCGTGTGTGTGTGTGTGTGCGTGCGTGTGAGTGTGTGAGTGTGTGTGTGAGTGCGTGTGAGTGCGCGTGCGTGCGTGTGAGTGCGTGTCAGTGTGTGTGTGTGCGTGTGAGTGTGTGTGTGTGTGCGTGTGAGTGTGTGTGTGAGTGCGTGTGAGTGTGTGTGTGTGTGAGTGCGTGTGTGCGTGTGTGTGCATGACGGCATGATAATATGAAGAACTTTCAAAGAAAATTAACCCGATGCGACGTGATAAAGTGCGCAAAGCTCGTAGCTGTCAATCATTCGGCGGGTTGTTCCGCGCATGCGCAGTAAGCGTGTCAGGCTCCGCCGATCTGCGGCTGCAGTAAAGTTACTCTGGGCTCTTATAGCACACATCAAATCCATATTTCTGATCGGATCTGGGCGCTCATAACAGCTGTCTGCAGGTATGTGTCCGTGCTGCTCTCAGCATTAATGTTTGCGCGCATGTTGATCTTTATCGAGCGGCTAGTGTTTTAGCTCGCTTCTGTTGAGTTTGACTCCAAATCCTCAGTTTGACGTTCAGCAGAATCCTGTTCCGTTTAAATGAGACGTTCAGCACCTTATTTCAGGACACACGTGGCTGCCAGGACGTTTCAAGGGGAAAATAAACGCGTTTCACCGTGTTTTAGTCACGGATCCCGCTCTCGGGCCTCAAGCTAACGGCTACATGTCAATAAATACCGAAATATGAGCACAGAACGCGGTGAAAGGTGATAAACAGTGACACGCGAACACAACCGTGACAAATGCTTATTAATATTAATCAGACAGTAATAGTTCGTCGTTTATTTTCGCTCGTGTAATTGTGTTCATGAATTCGTCAGAGCTCGTATTAGTTTCACACACGAACAGAAAACTAATAACAATGAGAAGTAAATCATAAATCCGTATAAGTCTATAAGGTTTATGCTTGTGATAGTGTGACATTCAGATGTCTGAATCTCCTGCACATGAACACATCAGTATATGTGTAATGAAAGCGTTATTGACAGAAGATGTGTGATTACAGCTGCTGGAGTGCAGATGTCAGAAAGGATGGTGTAGTTTGGGTTAGACAGCTTTGATTCATGTGTGAGGAGTGTGAGCACCTGGCTGTGATGTACAGAGGACACTTAGAAGTGAGATGTCAAATGTCACACAAACTATCCAGCAAGCACTGCAGGAGCTGAGCGGTGTATGCAGCTGGTGTTTAGTTTGAGAGTTTAACAGAAGAGAGCATCTCCTGATCATGTCCTCACTGCAGCTGCATCACACAAGAGGACTACACCAGATCGAGCAGCACCGCTGTAGTTAACACATGTGTATCGTTTTATTTGTGTTTTTCTGAAAATGACTGATTGTTTCGCTAGAGAAGACCCTTATTTGTCTGTTAGGGTCATGTTGGATTACTTTAAAGCTGCCTAAATAATGGTGTACGGTGAGCCCCATTCACTTGCATTAGATGGAGAAAAATCCTGAAAGGTTTTCCTCCAAAACATTCATTTCTTTTTGCCTGTAGAAAGAAAGTAATATACAGACATCTTGGATTTTTTTTTTACTATTATATTGCAATTATATTGCATTTCGCCATGAAAATTAGGGCTGGGTTTTGACACAAATTTCACGATTCGACTCGATTCTCATTCACAAGCTTGCGATTCGATTATCAATTCGATTCAATATCGATTATTTTGGATATATATCAGGTACAGTACATGCCAACTAATGCTGTAAAATATACATAAGAGTCAGTTGGTACTACATTACTATAATATTGAAGGTTAAAATTAATGAAGTTTTTACAATAATAAAGCTAGTTACATAATAATATTTCTACTTCAGATTTATGGATTTACCGCGTCTGTTAAACTGAGGCGCTACAGCGATGTGTCACTCCAGATTAAACAGCGCCAAAACGGCATTTATTGTTTGAATACTGCAATACAATGGACAGAATTTGAAATCTGAGAAGCCCGATGCTTATTGCGATATATTGGGTGGGAAGTGCCCTTCAATGTTCCGTCCATTAACTGAAAACAGACTAGACTAATCGATTCTTGGGATTTAAGAATCGATATCGTTCCATAAAAATGAGAATCGATTAATATCGAGATGTCGATATTTTTTTACCCAGCCCTAATGAAAATAGCCATAGATGCTGACATGATAAAAATGATAATGAATATGTTATATGGTGCATATATTAAGCAAAACGCCCCTCTCTACAGTTTATTTTTCTTTCTGATTAATGAGTTTATGGTCACCGAATATGTTTTTTCTGAGGTAAATGTGGCGTTACGTGACATATTGTTTAGAAGCCGTTATATATATAAGCCGGAGGAAACACTGATTGAGAGATTACATGAGACAGAATATGTGTGTGTTGTTTAGTGTTGTGTGTGTTATATTTCAGTGTGTGTGTGTTGTTTAGTGTTGTGTGTGTTATATTTCAGTGTGTGTGTGTTGTTTAGTGTTGTGTGTGTTATATTTCAGGGTTTGTGTTGGTTTCAGCAGCGGCGCAGTCATGCGCGGCGGTGTCTGCAGTATCCGGGCTCTGGCCCCGGTTCTTCTGCCCCGCTGGCTCTGTGGCCCTGGGGCCCGTCCTGCTCGTCTGCACGGATCGGTGCGGTTCTTAAGCACAGACTCTGTGTCCGCGGCTCTGCCGGCTCGCGCCCGCGTGGTGATCTGTGGAGGAGGCATCGTGGGCACGTCGGTGGCGTATCATCTGGCCAAGCTGGGCTGGACGGAGATCGTGCTGCTGGAGCAGGGCAGGTGAGACACATCTCTCTGAGATTCACATCACATTCCTGTCATCTGTAATATTTGAGTCCGTGTAAAGCTCTGCTTCAGTGGGATTCACCTGTTTGTTTGTGTCTTTTGTAGACTTGGAGCCGGCACAACTCGGTTTTGTGCAGGAATAGTAAGCGTTGCCAAACCTCTTTCTGTTGAGAGTAAGATGGCAGATTATTCGATCGCACTCTACGAGCGTTTGGAAGAGGAGACAGGTGTTAAAACGGGTGAGAATTCACCATCACTCCACAGCAGAGCACTGATTATCAAAGACAGCGTGTGCTTAATTTAATAAGGTAATGGTCTGTGTTGCAGGTTTCGTTCGTACCGGCTCTCTGTGCTTGGCTCAGAATCAGGACCGGCTCCTGTCTCTGAAGCGTCTGGCGTCCAGACTGAAGTGAGCCACTCTCTCCTCCTCATTCTGATCTCTGTATGTGTTCACAGCACAGTCACTAAAGCAGTAGCTTCATGCTGTCACTTGTCACGTGTCAAACTGCAGTGAAGAAGAATAAATCATGACGTGTGTTCTGTGTCTTGCGGTTCTTGTTCATTAGATTCAGATTGTCTGTTTGCCAGAGTCTTCCTGAAACTTCTGAAAGACTAAATAATTGAAGTCTTCAGCTGCGGCCACATTTACCTTTACTCGCCCGCAATTCACTGGCAGAAGGAAACAGAACAGAATGTGACGAATAACTGGAATAATAACCACAAATTAACATCTATAGCTATTGTGCTGCTTAACAAATGAGCTAAAAACTGCTTTCCAAATAGCCGTCTGTTTATGGATCATTTTATTAAAGTGTAAGTTCTGCAGGGTTCTGGGCGTCAGCTGTAACGTCATCAAACCCAAAGATGTGGCGAGGCTGCACCCGCTGGTGAATATTCACGATCTGGTCGGAGCTCTTCATCTGCCCGGAGACAGTGTGGTTTCCCCGCCGGACGTTAATCACGCGCTCGCGGTGGCCTCGGCCGCTCACGGTACGACTGCACACAGAATACAGGCTCAGTTCCTCTGATGCTCATTGCCCGGCTCGTTTCATTGTTTTCTCACACGTCAGGAGTGCAGATCTATGAACACACCAGTGTTAATCATGTGGTGGTGAAGAAGGGCCACGTCACGGCTGTAGAGACCGACCGCGGGTCCATCGAGTGCGAATACTTCGTCAACTGCGCTGGACAGGTCAGTCTGAAGGTCCAGGATTCAAATGGCATGCAGATCTGTTTTCATTATATCTATTATTTAGCCTTGCTAGTTTTATTTCACAGTATTGTAGTATTATGACAGATGGGTCTGTGGTGTGTGTTTCAGTGGGCGTATGAGCTCGGTCAGAGTGGCGAGGTCAAAGTGTCTGTTCCCTTACATGGCTGTGAACATTTCTACCTGCTCACCAAACCGTTATCTGAGCCGGTTCAGAACGACAGCCCAGGTGACGCATCACACAGCATCTCATATCATCACATCAGGCTTCGGCCTGTCATCAGCCAAGAGAGGGTTAAACACATCAAAATCATGTGAAAGCCTAATGTTTATTTTATTTCATCACTTTGCAAGTTAAAATATTTTGTTCATTTTGTTCTTAAGATGAAGCAAGTCAAACATTGAGTGATTTCCTTGTCTTTTGTTGTTTGATTAACATTAAGAAAGTGCTGTCACTGTAAGACAAAGCACGGATCCACACTGATACTGTGTGTGTGTGCGTGCGTGTGTGTGTGTGTGTGTGTGTGTGTGTGTGTGTGTGTGTGCAGTGCTGATAGACATGGATGGGCGGATCTACGCTCGGGCCTGGCATGGAGGGATCCTGTCGGGCGGCTTTGAGAAGAACCCTAAACCCATCTTCACTGAGGGACGCAACCAGCTGGAGATTCAGAACATGCAGGAAGACTGGGATCATTTCGGTGAGCTGAAGCCCCGATCACACTATCATACATGTACGAGAACAGCAGTGCATACAGTTAGTGCGCTGAAGAGCAGTCAGAAAACACCGCAAGTGTGAATATGACATACTGAGATCTGAGGAGGAGGGAAAGTGGATGCGTACTTCCAATATTCTCTCTGATAATCTCTGTTCTCTGATTGAAGAATTTCATAAAAATCATTGCTGCTGTCCTTTAACACACAAGCAGTGAGAACGAGGAATGGTGGATTTTCTGTCCATTCTTCTTTGAATTTTCAGTTTTCATCATGGTTTTCTGTTTGTTGGATGAATCCATCTGATGTACTGCTCTATCAGTGCCGTCGTGTGTGTGTGTGTGTGTGTGAGAGAGAGTGTGTGTGCGCGCGTGTGTGCGTGTGAGTGAGTGCGTGAGTGTGTGTGTGTGTGTGTGAGTGAGTGTGAGAGAGAATGTATGTGTGTGTGTGAGTGTGTGAGAGTGTGTGTGTGTGAGTGTGTGTGTGTTTGTGTGAGTGAGTGTGTGTGAGAGAGAGTGTGTGTGTGTGTGAGAGAGTGTGTGTGTGTGTGAGAGAGTGTGTGTGTGTGTGTGAGAGAGAGTGTGTGTGTGTGTGTGTGTGTGTGTGTGAGTGTGTGTGAGAGAGTGTGTGTGTGTGTGTGTTGCAGTATGTGATCTGCTGTGTTTCTATGAAGGACAGACTCAGATATTTCCAGCTCATTTATTGACCTTTACTCTGCATTTGTTCCTCCCCTCCCTCTCTCTCTTTCTGGCTCTGTCTTCTCCTTGAATTCTTCAACATGTTTTACTCATTGTTTTACTTTACTTTACTTGTAACTCTGGTATAATAAAAGCATGATGTTTGTAAATTGCTGTTCATGTTAATTTTAGTTCATGTAAGCTGTTGCTAATTTTAGGCCTTATGCACAAAACATTTGTAATTTATATAAGTGAAATCTGAGTGATTTATGTGTAAAATGGACCTTCCTGAAAACTCTGGATTCACAAACACTTGGTGATCCTCAGATTAGATAGTTAAACGTGTGTTAATGGATTCTGAACAGAATGCGTTAGCTTCTCTGATCATTACGGGAGTGAGTGGTGCTTCAGTGATTATCAGGGAAACATTCTAGAACTGCTTTTGGTGCATCATTTATTCAGGTTTTGAACGAGTTTGTTTTCACACTGAATAACTGTTATCAGCCGATACGATGATTGGCAGATGTGCATCGCTACCTAATACTCACTGTGTTTGAACAGAAAAGCATACAGCTGGCCGCTCTCTGGAGGACTGACCGTGGCTGCTGCTGGGCTTTTAATCATGAAAGTGTGTGTTTGTTCTGCTCCGTCCAGAGCCCATGTTGAGCGCTCTGCTGCGCCGGATGCCCGGTCTGGAGTCCTGTGAGATCCAGCAGCTGGTCAACTGCCCAGAATCCTTCACTCCGGACATGCGCTGCCTGATGGGAGAGACCCCGGGCATATATGGCTACTTTGTGCTGGCGGGCATGAACTCATCAGGCCTCTCGTTCGCTGGCGGAGCTGGGAAGTAAGAAAGCAGCACGGCTGGAGGTTTCTGCAGCTTTGTGTTTGATTAGTTCATAATAGCTGTTTTTTCGGCAGATATTTGGCGGAGTGGATCACGTACGGATACCCCAGTGCCAGCGTCTGGCCTCTGGACATCAAGCGCTTCGGTAATCTACAGAGCAGCCGCACGTTCCTGCGCCATCGCGTGATGGAAGTCATGCGTGAGTATCAGCACTGTTACAGACAGAGATTCATCTCAGAATGAAGACCATACGAGAAGAGCTGGACGCGATCGAAGCAACGCCTCGCCAAACATTAGCACGCGTTTATCCAGAGCAAAATTACAAATTAGAAAACGCATATAATGTGCATATAATACATTAGGTAATACATAATATAATACATAATAGTCAATTGATTTTCAACTAAATATAGCTTCAGATTCTGTATATTTTGAAGCTATATTTATCTATAGTCAGGGTTGATGGCCAGAAGTACAGTTCTTTCATGAATTGTGCTGTTGTTGCTGACTGTTGAGCCGATCAAACCGCTTTCTAAAACACTTCTATTAGACAACAACGCCATAATGCTCTAACCCTCCCTGCATAAAAGCCAACACTAACCCTAACCTTCACCTTAGTGCATATTTATTTAAAGAAGTGGGTCATTTCTGCACCACTAGCGGCAGTAAATAAAGGGTTTTCCTGAAGACTTTAGCGGAGCGGCCTGAACTGATCACTGGAGCTCAGATGGGTTCATGACACATTTCTCTAGGCTTCAGGATTGATTTGTTGGCTGTTGTTGTGACGCTTGTTGTGTGTGAATGGGTCAGCGCTGCTGTACGAGCTGAAGGTTCCTCGCTGGGACTTCCAGACGGGCCGGCAGCTGCGCACGAGTCCGCTGTACGACCGCTTGGACATGCAGGGAGCGCGCTGGATGGAGAAACACGGCTTCGAGCGAGCCAAGTACTTCGTTCCAGCCGGGAAAGGTGAGAAACCACACTGATCATAATGTGTTCATTTCAGTTCTGACTGTTTCTGTCACTGTCAGCACAGACTGATGAGTTTGCTCTTACAAAGCCAGGCAAATGTTTCGACACACATACTTGTGATTATTGCTCATATCAGATGGGAAAATGGAAATATGAGAGTTATGTATTTACCAGAAAAAACTTTAGATGCTCTCTTACATTGAACCCTCTATAATATGGCAAAAATATTTTATATTAAAGGGATAGTTGACCCAAAAGTGAAAGTTCTGTCATGAATTACTCGCCCTCATGTCGTTCCAAACCCGTAAGACCTTCGTTCATCTTCAGAACACAAATGAAGATATTTCTGATGAAATCCCAGAGCTTTCTGACCCTGCAGAGACAGCAACAGAACTGAAACATTCAAGGCACAGACAGTTAGTAAGGACATAATAATGCAGAGGAGTTAGTGCTGCCCTTGAGTGGACAGAGAGCATTCAGCTGCGGTGGATGAACTACTGAAGGCATTAAACATTGGACCTCTAACAGCCTTCAGTAGAGCTGCTCTCTGCCTCCTGATGTAAAACAGGACAGCGGCGCCATCATCTGTTCACTTTGCTCCCTAAATCTCACTGTAAAAGGCTTCAAGGCTTCAGGCCTCATCAATAAATCCATTGTGTTTGGGTTTTGTGCCATGCTTGTTAATGTTTATATAGAGCTCATGGTGAGCCGCTGTTTGCTTGTTAGACTGATGATAGCGTTCTCATAGCGTCAGTGTCATGTGAACCGATGAAACCCTGTTTCCCCGCGTGCTCAGACACACTTCCTCATAGTGTCACTGCTGTGTTTGCAGAAATCTGTGCAGAAACGTCTTTTTACAAGCGTCTACTGAGCAACATCAGCAAACGAGTTTCTGTGATTCCATTCAGGCTTCAGTCTCTGGAAATATATAACCTCAACTACGGACGCAGTCCTACTCACAGATGCTGTTCCTTTTCCTTACAAAATGTTAGTTTTATAAAGAAAGTGAAATGAAGGCTCACAAAACTAATTTCAAGTATTTCAGCAGATGTCTTCAAATCGAGTTTGTGTCCAAACTTTTTAACTAGCAGTGTACAACATTTAACAGATCAGTATGGTCTCTAGCAGATGATGATCAGCACGCTTTACCATTTTAAAAAATGAAAACAAAAGTCCAATATTTAAATGGGGCATGTCCCATAATGCACCGGTGTAACTGTGTTTGAGGCGTTTCTCTGTCTTCATCCGCACAGATTTACTGGCTCTGGATCAGAGTAAGACCTTCTACAAGCCCGACTGGTTTGATATCGTGGGCGCGGAGGTGAAGTGCTGTAAGGAGGCGGTGTGCGTCATCGACATGTCCTCCTTCACCAAGTTTGAGCTCACAGTGAGTCCTGATTCTCTTGATTATGAGCACTTCTGTGAGTGGTGTCTATGAGCTAACAGAGGTCCTGTGTGTTTCAGTCTGCAGGTGATCAGGCCCTGCAGCTGCTGCAGAGATTGTGTGCTAATGATCTGGACGTTCCTGTCGGTCACATCGTCCACACAGGCATGCTGAACCAGAGAGGAGGCTACGAGAACGACTGCAGCGTCGTGCGCCTCAGCAAAAACAGGTGCGGGGTTTTCACATGAAACTCCTGCAGACTTATGCATTAGAGTACAATAGATTTATATTATACTATATTGCAGAAACTCTATATTTACCCAAAACCAGAGAACGGCACAACCCAAATCAACAGCACAGCAGATCCATTTGTGCATCAGAAAGACAAAGTTCAGTCTGGCAGTCGGCAACTTTATTAAATGTTTAGGAGTCAGAACACTGTTCTATATAACAAAACCCAGCAAAACTAAAGGAAAATGCTGCTTGTTTCTGATAATGCAATTCTTAGAATCAGTTCATTATGATTGACATCCTCCGGTTCTCTCGTCTCCAGTTTCTTCATCATTTCACCCACCGATCAACAAGTTCACTGCTGGTCCTGGATTAAGAAACACATGCCCAGCGACCCACAGCTCCACCTGGAGGACGTCAGCTGGAAGTACACGGGTGAGATCCGTTCATCTCTACCAGCTCACATACTCTGTGTATCACGCAAATCATGAACAACAGTAGACCCAACAACAAGCCGGCGGCAAAGCACTGTTACTCATTTCACACCAGAAAGTAAAACAGGATCTAGCCTTATAAGTGAACCAGAGAGTGAGTGAGTGAATAAAGGCCTTCACAGCACACACTGATGAAGGAGGTGCCAATAATCTCTGATGTGTTTTCCTCAGCTCTGAATCTGATTGGTCCTCGTGCCATGGACGTGCTGTCCGAACTCTCGTATGTGTCCATGACTCCAGAACACTTCCCGTCTCTCTTCTGTAAGGTGAGACCAACACGTCTGCTAGACGATCAGATCTGCTGCAGCACTAAAAGATAGTTGCATTAAAGCTCAATTATTACTCACACACTCAGTGCTTATGGTTTATAACTGGAGCTCACATGGAGACTAACTGTGCTGTGTTTTGCAGGAAATGAGTGTGGGCTACGCTAACGGCATCAGAGTCATGAGTATGACACACACCGGAGAGCCGGGATTCATGCTGTATATCCCTATAGAGGTACAACAAGACAACATCATTAAACCACACTCACTAGACAAAATATGACTAAAATACATTTATTGTATAAAAACTGTAAAAATAGAGATGCTATAAGGGGCCGTTCACATTAGATGTGTTCACGCGTTTAAAAACAGCCAAACATTGTGCTCCAAATGAAACGCGGCTATCAGGACACGTTTTTAAAAGCTGAACTACTTTTAAATAAATAAAAATGCAAAGATTTCAAGATGCTGAAGAAACAGAGAGACAATGTCATGGCCAATCAGATGTGTGTGAACGGGCCTTATTTCTGTACTGGACTGTAATCCGATCAGTGAGATGTTGCTCTCCTTCTCCCAGTATGCACTGCATGTGTATAATGAAGTGATGTCAGTCGGGCAGAAGTACGGCATCAGGAACGCGGGATACTACGCTCTGCGCAGTCTGCGGATTGAGAAGTTCTTTGCGTTTTGGGGGCAGGATCTGGACTCGTTCACCACACCGCTGGAGTGCGGACGGGAGTTCAGGGTCAAGTTTGACAAGGTCAGTTTCTTCATCTCTTCTGACCCAGAATGCTCTAACAACCACATAAGAAGAAGCGAAAGAGCTCTCAGAACGCTTCATAGACCTCCATAGCAATGTCCCAGCAAACACCTACAGTCTTGTGAAAAACTAAAACAGGAAATCTCAGTTGATCATGAAAGGTTTTACACCGCAAGAACTGATCATACTTTTGGCCTGTTTACATATACAAACCTGTAATAACATGAACACGCACTCCAGTATAATCCAGGCATCACACCCAGCATTCACTCACATATGCAGCTGTCTATCAGCAAGACGCTTTTAAATGAAGGGTAACTGTATCTGATTGTACATTATAGTAAAAATATACTATATCGTCAACTTCAAACGTAGTGGACTATTATAGCGTTCACCTTTCTATGATTGTGTCTGTTCTCCGCTCTGTGGTGCTTCACAATGCTGTCAGAGACTCACATCAGATGACTGAAGTGGATGGGTTTATGGCCGGGTGATGGCGTGGTGCTTGTGTTCTCTGTCCTGCAGGCTCAGTGTCTCGTCTCTGATCCATGATCTCTCTCTCTCTCTCTCTCTCTCGTAGGACACAGATTTTCTGGGCCGGGACGCTCTGCTGCGGCAGCGGGTCGAGGGAGTCTCGCGGCGCTTCGTGATGCTGGTTCTGGAGGATCACGACACAGAGCTGGACGTCTGGCCCTGGTGGGGCGAGCCCATCTACCGTAACGGTGAGCTGATCGGGGTCACCACCAGCAGCGCCTACAGCTACACGCTCCAGCGCCACGTCTGTCTGGCCTTCCTGAGCCCCACAAACACAGACGGCTCTCCGGCCGCGGTCACCGCCGACTTCATCAACCGCGGAGACTATGAGGTGGACATCGCTGGACAGAAGTTCCCCGCCAAAGCCAAGCTCTACCCCTTCAGCTCGCTCTTCGCTCAACAGAAGCGGCGCAAGGATGACATGGAGCTCAGCAACTTCCAGAGCAAGTGAAGAAGAGCCGCAGCACTTCCTGAAGTCCCTCACACACCCAATCGTTCTTGTGTCAGTCGCTCATTATGTGTGGTTAGCGCTCCGTATACGTGTGTGTTTTGGGCTGTTGTTGAAGTGTAATAGTGTGTCACGAAGGTCCTGTATGCTGAACAGATGTTTTAAAGTGGAATTAATTTGGATTTGGAATTACAGTTGAAAGCATAATTGACTTTAGAAAGAAAGTTTTTCTCTGTGTTTGTTCCTATTGCTCTGCTGATAATCCGGTCACGTCTTCTTGAATAAGTCCCTGTTCTGCTCATCATTGTCAAGCGCCACATGGTTTAAGATGAAGAGATGTATATTTATATGGATGTCAGACACTAGACAATCAATGTCTGTTTGAAGCGTTAAGTTTAATTGGAGAGGACTGGAGAAGTATTTCAAAGCGTGCCTGTCTCTCTGCCACACTATTTTGTAATGAAACTACGATACTAAATGAGGAGGCATTGAGGGACGTGCAAATTATGTGAGACATTAATGAGAAATGACTGAACAGAGATCCTGGAGCGACGCTTTAATGAAGTGCCTTGCATTTGCAGTGTGAAATACATGAAACTGGATTCTTTATGTTCATGCAGCTCTAGTAGCGGCTGTGTTTATAGTGTTTATAGTGTCGTCTGATCAGTCAGCGTTATGTTCCTCTATCATTCTGAATCACGTGATCTGTTGCTTGTGGATCTGGTGTTGAGATGCTCAGTGTTTGGACTGCATATTATTTACATCTGTGTGGTTTTATCTTAAAAAGCTTACAGTCAGATCATATTTAAATGCACAAAGAATTGCACGTCGTATATCATGTTTAAACGAGAAGCAGCTTTGCACAGTAAGGATCAGTGGTGTGTTCAAACGATCGTAACAAGGGGAATTTCATAAAAGCATGTTTAGAACACTTTTTATACAAAATATAATTTCTGATTTCTTTCTTTTGAGGTGAAATAAGAGTAAAGCATTGCATACAATACAAGTAAATCATTACTGTTTATCCAGCCATAATGACTTAAAGTACTAAAGCATTGAACTGCTCCTCTCTTGATTTTACTGTGTGTGTGTGTGTCTGGTGTGGGGGTCTGTGTGTGTGTGTGTCTGGTGGGGGTCTGTGTGGCCTTCCTGAGCCCCACAAACACAGACGGCTCTCCGGCCGCGGTCACCGCCGACTTCATCAACCGCGGAGACTATGAGGTGGACATCGCTGGACAGAAGTTCCCCGCCAAAGCCAAGCTCTACCCCTTCAGCTCGCTCTTCGCTCAACAGAAGCGGCGCAAGGATGACATGGAGCTCAGCAACTTCCAGAGCAAGTGAAGAAGAGCCGCAGCACTTCCTGAAGTCCCTCACACACCCAATCGTTCTTGTGTCAGTCGCTCATTATGTGTGGTTAGCGCTCCGTATACGTGTGTGTTTTGGGCTGTTGTTGAAGTGTAATAGTGTGTCACGAAGGTCCTGTATGCTGAACAGATGTTTTAAAGTGGAATTAATTTGGATTTGGAATTACAGTTGAAAGCATAATTGACTTTAGAAAGAAAGTTTTTCTCTGTGTTTGTTCCTATTGCTCTGCTGATAATCCGGTCACGTCTTCTTGAATAAGTCCCTGTTCTGCTCATCATTGTCAAGCGCCACATGGTTTAAGATGAAGAGATGTATATTTATATGGATGTCAGACACTAGACAATCAATGTCTGTTTGAAGCGTTAAGTTTAATTGGAGAGGACTGGAGAAGTATTTCAAAGCGTGCCTGTCTCTCTGCCACACTATTTTGTAATGAAACTACGATACTAAATGAGGAGGCATTGAGGGACGTGCAAATTATGTGAGACATTAATGAGAAATGACTGAACAGAGATCCTGGAGCGACGCTTTAATGAAGTGCCTTGCATTTGCAGTGTGAAATACATGAAACTGGATTCTTTATGTTCATGCAGCTCTAGTAGCGGCTGTGTTTATAGTGTTTATAGTGTCGTCTGATCAGTCAGCGTTATGTTCCTCTATCATTCTGAATCACGTGATCTGTTGCTTGTGGATCTGGTGTTGAGATGCTCAGTGTTTGGACTGCATATTATTTACATCTGTGTGGTTTTATCTTAAAAAGCTTACAGTCAGATCATATTTAAATGCACAAAGAATTGCACGTCGTATATCATGTTTAAACGAGAAGCAGCTTTGCACAGTAAGGATCAGTGGTGTGTTCAAACGATCGTAACAAGGGGAATTTCATAAAAGCATGTTTAGAACACTTTTTATACAAAATATAATTTCTGATTTCTTTCTTTTGAGGTGAAATAAGAGTAAAGCATTGCATACAATACAAGTAAATCATTACTGTTTATCCAGCCATAATGACTTAAAGTACTAAAGCATTGAACTGCTCCTCTCTTGATTTTACTGTGTGTGTGTGTGTTTGGTTTGGGGGTCTGTGTGTGTGTGTGGGGGTCTGTCTGTGTGTGTGTGTCTGTGTGTCTCTCTCACTGCGAGACAGAATAGTTTGTTAGGCGCTGGTTGTAGCAGGGTTGTGTAGAGAATCGTAGAACACATGATCTGTTGGTGGAGATCTGATTATCATGTGATTCAGAGCTGGAGAGATCAGATGTGCACCTTATGCTTTGCTTGTATCTTGTTTTTTTAAATGTCAGACAAAGATAACAGGCCTATTATATAGTAAATATGATCTTTCTGGCCATCTTGTCTTTGTATTTATATCATATATTGTACAAATGTTTAATTTTCATAAATAAAATAAGTAATCATGGTTTGACTCATTTGGATTTATAGTCTTTATGTATTTGTTGTGTCACTATTTTCTCACACAAGTATTATTCATATGCACTAGCTTAAAATATATTGTATTTACAGTTTTTTACGATTGTTTACACACTAAAATAAAAATGTCCACACAATTTGCAAAATTCTACTCCAATGAGCAAAACACCTCCACAGATTTGCACAACATTACACACAAATGTGTATGTTTTGACTGAAGTGTGTCATTTTGCAAACAATCTAGGAATTATGCAAATTGAGTGTGGTGTTTGGATAATTGTGCTTATATTGTGAAAAAAAGAACCCGGTTTTCAAAATTGCGTATAAACAATTGAAAAAAACTGTAATAGTAGACTTTCACAAGCCAGACATTTGATTATTAGTCTCCTGCTTATTTAAGCTGCTCAACAGGAACGGCCCTGTGTTAAAGGTACAGGGAAACCTAAAAGTCGAGATCTCCAAAACAGCCGCTCATGGTGTGTGTGTTTGCTGAAGAGCCGTGAAAAGCCTGCGAGGAGTCGCCACAGACATGACTTTAACACCCTCAGTGTCTCTGGTGTTAATGAGAAGCATCTTAACGAGGATCTGAGTACAGCACAAAATAATTCAGAGGATCAATCAAACTTTAGATTCATTATTTTAATCTGAAGACAGGAACATGATAAAGGACAAAAAAATGTATACGTTAGAATGAAAAAGTATTTGTCCGAGCTTAAAATAAATACAGACTAAAACATGATTACAGTCCCTAATATTGACATCTATATTCATTATTATTATTATAAATTTGTCCAACTACATACACACATTTGGCTTTAAGCAAAGTAACCGTTATGACTGTACCAGTGACTGTTGCTGGTTCTGATCCTCTGGTTTGATTGGTAAAGCAGTTTTCTAAAGTAAGAGAAACCCAGAGTGGAGCTGATAACAAAACGCTGAGAAACTGTCACTCTACTCACATACTCTGTTTCAATTTGTGTTACACAATATATATAAAAATGCACAAACTAACTAGCCAGATTTCTTCTGAAGGTAATATTAAAGGTAGGGTAGGGCAATAGAAAGCTAGCTTTGACAGCATAAGATCGCACCCTCCCTGCAAACAACTCTCCAAAGCCACGCCTCCTCCGAAACACATGACCGCGCACAGGCAGCGACACATGAGAGGCTCATGTCTCATTCACCAGTGAGAAAACATTACAGTACAAACTGCAGAATATTACGCTCATAATGGCTTCCATTCTTGCTGCGCTGATGACGGATCACGTCTGATCAGGCTGCACAGAGAGATGCAAACCAAAAGCACTTAACTTAGTGATTGCTGTCGGGATGAGAAGAGACTTTCAACCAGCATAACAAAACTTGTTTTTGAACCAAATCACCTACCCTGCCTTTAACCTCTCTAATTTAACTCTAAAACTCATATGGTGAGACAAAGATGGTAATCTTGGTGATGTAACGTCCCAGCAGTTCTCTCCTCTCCAGTTCACTCATCTCCAGCTCTGCGTCCAGCGTGGCGGGACCCTGGACAGGACTAGTCAGCAGCAGTTCACCCGTCTGACGATCGGAGCGCTGCACGCTGAAGTGCCGCCGGCCGCGGCCGCCCAGTAACGCGAAGCGCAGCGCGTCTCCTATCATTCTGACGGCCGACACGCGGAACATGACGCGCGGAGCGGAGAGCTTGGACACCACAGACATGTAGTGGAAGGACACTGAGTTTGGCGCCTGAGAGCAGGTCCTGCTGTCCACGGGACACGGGTTCCTCTCACAGCGCCTGCGCAGACAAAACCTGCTTCTCACATGTTCCCTTTTGTTTTAAATAAAGATGCTTCGTAACTTACACTGGAGAGGTTTTGGCGTAGCTGGCGTTACGTATCTGCGGACACTCCACTGTCACGCACTGAAAGCCTCCGTAGGTGTTGATGCAGAGCTGCTCGCGCGTGCAGTTGTTCTGCCTGCTGCTGCACTCATCGATATCTGAGAGGAAAAGCAGAAGGGTGTAGAACCGGGTCAGAACGAAATCTGGACCGCTTTGTTTCCGAAGTGCATGGTTTGCTATTAATTAATGACCTTTGCAGTTCCGGCTGTCACGGGCCACGCTGTAACCAGCAGGGCAGCTGCATCGGTACCCGCCAGCGGTGTTAACACACGCGTGCAAACACAGACGGCCGGCCTGCCCACCGTGGAACAGTGTACACTCGTCAATGTCTAGGAAAAACACAGAAATGAGCTGACTGAAACAAACACGTCATTGGACGAAAGAGGAGCATATCTGTCACTACTGAAAAGAGCAGCATTGCCAGTCGCCTAACATCACAAGCTGGTGAAGAATAAAGTGTGGAGAGAAGCCGTGGAATACATCACCTGCTGCACTGGCGGCTTCCAGAGTAGAGTTTGGAGCTGCAGCAGCATCTGTTCAGCTGTGTTGTGGTTGCAGTGATCGTACCTGTGCAGACGCTGCTGTCGCGGCTGGAGATGGTGAATCCAGGCTCACAGGTGCAGCGGGTCGCTCCCTGAACCTGACTGCATCTAGACGCTGAAGACGCGCGGGTCAGAGGGAACGAGGACGCGGCCGCAGCTCCAGCGCTGACAGGAGACGTGTTCGCTATAGTGACAAAAACTGCAGAGAGAGCACGTAAACTATTATTTGTGCAGCACAGGAACAATCATAGGATTTCAGCAAGAAGCCTGGTTTATACTTGAGCCATCAGCGTGAGCGAGAGCTGCACCTGTCAGAAGAGACGTCGTGCGTTGCTGTAAACTATGGTTAGGTTAGGGTTAGGGTTAACCCTAACCCTAACATCTGAGGCCAAATAGAATCATGTTAAAAGCACTGAATGAGAACATCCCAACGATACACTGATGTTTGACGATGATTTCACTAAAACAAACACAGGTTCTTGTACTACTAGGACAAGTATAAACACCTCGAGATATTCACATGGCTGTCATGTATGATCAAGGCTTTATCAGATCTCACGATGTGTTGGTCTAGCACAGATTGGCTGTTTTGTATGGAGTATTAGAGGGTGCAGGTTTTGAAACTCGTCACAGAACATTTTCTAACAATCTAATTCAAATTGCAGCTGTTTGTCAGTGCATGTATATCAGGAACGAGTGTATTTGATTGCACATTGTTTTGTAATTTTACTGGAATGCTGTGGATGAGCGAATGGGAATTTGAAGCACTGTTGCTTGATCCACCGCTGACTAGAGGCAATCATAAATAGTAATTGAAGAGGTGTTTTTGTGCAAGTACTGGAA